TATTTCTTTTTATCCCCATTCGAAGATTTTCAAGACATTACGAGTACCGGTTGAGAAAAATCCACAAGGCAACCGGTGTCAAACACTTGTCTGTACACTTTTGTATTTTAGAATTATCGTTGTCATTGTCTAAAAATTTTTCTCATTATATTCATTAAGGTATTCCTATAATCATTAATATCAAAATGTCATAGATCCTAAGGTTTGTGTCCATGGGGAGACGCTTAAGCGCTCCCAGCGTGATGAGTGATCAGTGCATATTTATGCACTTTCTCCTATATTTTTACTTAGGCATTTCTTTACTTTATCTTGATTATTTTTATGTTTTATTTTGTTTTTATATTTTATTTTATTTTTGGCTTAATTTGATTTCCGCACTTATTTTTCAGCTTTAGCAGTCTGCACGGAAACGATCATAACTGGTGTTTCGGAAATCCGTTTGAGGCGTTCTAAAATTCGCCGGAAAGCTATGAGAGAGAGCTACGAATTTCGTGTTGGAGTCGAAGTCAGATTCGGAGCCCAAAATTCCAGAATTCCGTTTGAAGTTACTGCATTAGAATTTTATTTTAGTGTTGGGTCATGTATTGGGCCTGGGTTATGTTTTCGACCCAGTTGGGTTATGACCCGAATTTGCTTTCTTTTTAAAGGAAAAATACTCGTGTTACTGTTCACCTAGTTACATTTTCACGAAAAATACATTCGGAGCTTTGAGAGAACCATGGAGAGCTAATTCCTTAGAGTCATTCTGCCGTAATCGCGTTACAACGCTTTGAGGTTTTTACTTTATCAATCTAATTCGTTTCTCTTTAAACACTATTCTATGAATTGCTTTTGCTTAATCTGTTAGTTTATAGAATTGTTTTGATTAAATTCGTATGATTGCATCCTTAGCTTTTATTCGTCGTTACGTCGCTTTGTCGTTAATTCGCGTTTATAATTCGTGTTTGCTTAATTCACGAAAACTTAATCCGTTTGCTTAATTTGGAATATAAGATTGTTAATCTAGTTTATGTCTTTTGCGCTTGTTAATTGACATAGGAATCGAATAGAGATCGAAATCGCTTAGGAAATTGGTAAGGTAGAAACCCGTGATAAGCCGGAACCGAAAACAGTAGATTGACTTATTTTGAAAATAACTTATTTTAACCGCTTAATTGCATTTTCTTTATTTATCCGATCAGAAACCAAACCAACTCCCCCTCCATTTAGAATTTGGTAGATTAATCACATAAAAGAATCCTTGAGACGATATCCGAGTTGAATTGTCACTTGTCTGTACACTTTTGTATTTTAGAATTATCGTTGTTATTGTCTAAAAATCTTTCTCATTATATTCGTTAAGGTATTCCTATAATCATTAATATCAAAATATCATAGATCCTAAAGTTTGTGTCAATGGGGAGACGCTTAAGCGCTCCCAGCGTGATGAGTGATCAGTGCATATTTATGCACTTGCTCCTATATTTTTACTTAGGTATTTCTTTACTTTATCTTGATTATTTTTATGTTTTATTTTGTTTTTATATTTTATTTTATTTATGGCTTAATTTGATTTCCGCACTTATTTTTCAGCTTTAGCAGTCTGCACGGAAACGATCATAACTGGAGTTCCGGAAATCCGTTTGAGGCGTTCTAAAAATTGCCGGAAAGCTAAGAGAGAGAGCTACGACTTTCGTGTTGGAGTCGAAGTCAGATTCGGAGCCCAAAATTCCAGAATTCCGTTTGAAGTTACTGCATTAGAATTTTATTTTAGTGTTGAGTAATGTATTAGGCCTGGGTTATGTTTTCGACCCAGTTGGGTTATGACCCGAATTTGCTTTCTTTTTAAAGGAAAAATACTCGTGTTACTGTTCACCTAGTTACATTTTCACGAAAAATACATTCGGAGCTTTGAGAGAACCATGGAGAGCTAATTCCTTAGAGTCATTCTGCTGTAATCGTGTTCCAACGCTTTGAGGTTTTTACTTTATCAATCTAATTCGTTTCTCTTTATACACTATTCTATGAATTGCTTTTGCTTAATCTGTTAGTTTATAGAATTGTTTTGATTAAATTTGTATGATTGCAGCCTTAGCTTTTATTCGCAGTTACGTCGCTTTGTCGTTAATTCGCGTTTATAATTCGTGTTTGCTTAATTTACGAAAACTTAATCTGTTTGCTTAATTTAGAATATAGGATTGTTAATCTAGTTGATGTCTTTTGCGCTTGTTAATTGACATAGGAATCGAATAGAGATCGAAATCGCTTAGGAAATTGGTAAGGTAGAAACCCGTGATAAGCCAGAACCGAAAACAGTAGATTGACTTATTTTGATAATCACTTATTTTAAACGCTTAATTGCATTTTCTTTATTTATCCGATCAGAAACCAAACCAACTCCCCCTCCATTTCGAATTTGGTAGATTAATCACATAAAAGAATCCTTGAGACGATATCCGAGTTCAATTGTCGCTGTATTACGTTTTCATCAAAAACACTCGTTTTCATCCGCGCGCGACCACTGATCAATGAGCTAGGCCCTCCACGACGGAGAGATGGATTGGGCCGGATTGGGCCGACCCCGTGTGATGAGCGGGACAAAATCATTTTATAAGATTGGAGGATTTCTGCCTCCTCTAAGGAGGAGCTTAATTGTCGCAAAAATGGAATTTCCACGACGATGGCAAACCCCTCTGATATTATTTGAGAATCCAAATTCTTATTATATCCCCAAAATCGATTTTTGTTAGAATCATTAGCCGAAATGATTAAATGATTCTGTTGATACATTCGAGTAATTAACCGTTTTACAATTAGTAAACTATATTTATTGTCATAACCTACATTTTCCAAAAAAATGGATCTATTCAAATTATGACTATAAGCAAGTCCATAAATATACTCCCTAAAAAGAAGTGGGTATAGGAAGTCCTGTTGGCGAGATCTAGCTCGTTCTAAATATACTTTATATTCCTTCATTTTCTAAATTTGATTTGGTCAAAGATTCATTGGATTATGAAATGATACATAGTGCGATACAGTCAAAACAAGGTATTCTAGATCTATATTCGAATTGAAATAAAAAAACAAATATGAAGCGATACCTAGAAAACGAGTTAAAACCCATTAATGGACTATCTCCCCTCGCTTGTTGCTTCTCATTTTTCTAGGACAAACAAGCTAGTTAGAAATCCTTTATTTTTTGGACCAATCGCTCTTTTGATTTTGGAAAAAAATCAGATCTTTATCAATATACTCTTTCTTCTACACATTTATTGCTACCCCATAAAATAATGGGGAATAGCTAATAATTAGGACTCATAACAGAAATCGTTAATCCATCATTCGTAGGAAAAACTTTTTCCACAACAAGCACTAATTCTTTTTTAACGTATAATTAGATGTGGTAATCATTCAAATCAAAAATGAAAGCTCGTTGCTTTTTGTTTCCCTATAATTGGAGCAGCTAAGCTCTATCCCTTTATTAATTAAACCCAACGGAATTCATTTGTTCGGAGCCAACAATTCAAAGAAAAATATTGGTCGGATCAAATATGAATGAAAAATTTTTAGAATTCACCGTTGATACGACATGCTGCTTTTTCCATTCATTCCTTTCTGGATCAGTCGTGGTCTTACAAACCCTACCGATGGTAGGGATGAACCAATTAGTTCATAGAAATGTGTAAAAAATGGAGTCGCACTTAAAAGCCGAGTACTCTACCATTGAGTTAGCAACCCTAATCCAATTACAAACAAGGATGTCTATATCCAATCGCAATAAAAAAAGATGCAATTCTATAAATAATAGAATCAAATGTTACATATTATGTTACATATTACATTAAATTACAATCAATGACATTAAATTACAATGAAAGAAAAAAAAATACAACGAATCCACCATTTGATGAAGTAAAAAACCTATCTGACATGAGTCAATCGATCCATTTATTCACGATCGGATTATATTGGTTTGATACACTGTTGTCAATATTAATAGAAAATACTTCTATTTTAATTCATTATATTCCAAATCAAAAAAGAATAATGAACTAGAAAAAAATCTATCAATCCGAAAGATCCATAGGATTCATTTATAGATACAACAAGTATTCTGTACAGTATTCGGCTCAATCCTTTTAGTAAAAGATTGGGCCGAGTTTAATGGAAATTAATAGAACGAATTATTATTACTGGATTACAAAGTATCCATTGCTGGGAATTCAAATTTGATTTCCTTCCAGACTTCACAAGCAGCAGCTAATTCAGGACTCCATTTGCAAGCTTGACGGATAATTGCATTACCCTCGCGAGCAAGATCACGTCCCTCATTCCGAGCTTGTACACATGCTTCCAGAGCTACTCGATTCGCTACGGCACCAGGTGCATTTCCCCAAGGGTGTCCTAAAGTTCCTCCACCGAATTGGAGTACAGAATCATCTCCAAATATCTCGGTCAGAGCAGGCATATGCCAAACGTGAATACCCCCTGAAGCAACAGGGATAACACCTGGTAAAGAAACCCAATCCTGAGTGAAATAAATACCGCGACTTTGATCTTTTTCAATATAATCATCACGTAGTAAATCAACAAAACCTAAAGTAATCTCCCTTTCTCCTTCAAGTTTACCTACTACAGTACCAGCGTGAATATGATCTCCACCAGACAAACGTAAGGCTTTAGCTAATACACGAAAGTGCATACCATGATTTTTTTGTCTATCGATAACTGCATGCATTGCACGGTGGATATGAAGAAGTAGACCATTATCGCGGCAATAGTGAGACAGGGTAGTATTTGCAGTGAATCCACCTGTTAAGTAGTCATGCATTACGATAGGAACGCCCAATTCTCTAGCAAATACAACTCTTTTTAGCATTTCTTCACATGTACCCGCAGTAGCATTCAAATAATGTCCTTTGATTTCCCCTGTTTCGGCCTGTGATTTATAAATTGCTTCGGCACAAAATAAGAAACGGTCTCTCCAACGCATAAATGGTTGGGAGTTCACATTTTCATCATCTTTTGGTAAAATCAAGTCCCCCGCGGAGACATTCATAAACTGCTCTACCATAATTCTTAGCTGATAAACCCAATTTGGGTTTTATAGTACATCCCAATAGGGGACGTCCATACTTGTTCAATTTATCTCTCTCAACTTGGATTCCGTGAGGAGGACCTTGGAAAGTTTTAACATAAGCATTAGGGATTCGCAAATCTTCCAGACGTAGAGCGCGCAAGGCCTTGAACCCAAATACATTACCTACAATGAAGGTAAACATGTTAGTAACAGAACCTTCTTCAAAAAGGTCTAAGGGATAAGCTACATAAGCAATAAATTGATTATCTTCTCCAGGAACAGGCTCGATCTCGTAGCAGCGTCCTTTATAACGATCAAGGCTGGTAAGTCCATCAGTCCACACAGTTGTCCATGTACCAGTGGAAGATTCTGCAGCTACCGCTGCACCTGCTTCTTCAGGCAGAACTCCAGGTTGAGGAGTTACTCGGAATGCTGCCAAGATATCAGTATCTTTGGTTTGATAGTCAGGAGTATAATAAGTCAATTTATAATCTTTAACACCAGCTTTGAACCCAACCTTTGCTTTAGTTTCTGTTTGTGGTGACATAAATCCCCCCCTACAACGCATGAATTAAGAATTGAATTATAGCAACAACAAGGTCTACTCGACATAACTTAAGAGTTAATCAAACCTTTTTACAAATGATCCATCAACTAATATTATCAATTAATCCGAATGGGTCATTGTTAAATTTGACCATGATATTTGATTTGGCAAATACATCATTATTCTATACTCTTTCATATGTATGGCGCAACCCAACCGTTTTTTTTTCGAATCTCTTATTTTTTTTTTGAATTTTGGAATATAATTTTCGAATCTAAATAATAAATAAAAAATATACTCTTGACCTTGACAGTGATATATGTTGTATATGTAAATCCTAGATGTAAATCCTAGATGTAAATCCTTGACATGATTATATTTAATAATTAATTATTTAATTGAATATGTGCTTAAATATAAGTGGATGTCAAGATAATCCATTTCGAAATAATAGGACTTCTAAATGATTATCATTCTATATATAGGCTATGATCTCAAATATATCGTCCTATAAGAAGATTATCTCTTTTTATCCTCATTCGAAGAGTTTTCAAGACATTACGATTACCGGTTGAGAAAAATCCACAAGCCAACCAGTGTCAAACACTTGTCTTTACACTTTTGTATTTTAGAATTATTGTTGTCATTGTCTAAAAATCTTTCTCATTATATTCGTTAAGGTATTCCTATAATCATTAATATCAAAATGTCATAGATCCTAAGGTTTCTGTCAATGGGGAGACGCTTAAGCGCTCCTAGCGTGATGAGTGATCAGTGCATATTTATGCACTTTCTCCTATATTTTTACTTAGGCATTTCTTTACTTTATCTTGATTATTTTTATATTTTATTTTGTTTTTATATTTTATTTTATTTTTGGCTTAATTTGATTTCCGCACTTATTTTTCAGCTTAGCAGTCTGCACGGAAACGATCATAACTGGAGTTCCGGAAATCCGTTTGAGGCGTTCTAAAAATCGCCGGAAAGCTAAGAAAGAGAGCTACGACTTTCGTGTTGGAGTCGAAGTCAGATTCGGAGCCCAAAATTCCAGAATTCCGTTTGAAGTTACTGCATTAGAATTTTATTTTAGTGTTGGGTCATGTATTGGGCCTGGGTTATGTTTTCGACCCAGTTGGGTTATGACCCGAATTTGCTTTCTTTTTAAAGGAAGAATACTCGTGTTACTGTTCACCTAGTTACATTTTCACGAAAAATACATTCGGAGCTTTGAGAGAACCACGGAGAGCTATTTCCTTAGAGTCATTCTGTTGTAATCGCGTTCCAACGCTTTGAGGTTTTTACTTTATCAATCTAATTTGTTTCTCTTTAAACACTATTCTATGAATTGCTTTTGCTTAATCTATTAGTTTATAGAATTGTTTTGATTAAATTCGTATGATTGCATCCTTAGCTTTTATTCGTCGTTACGTCGCTTTGTCGTTAATTCGCGTTTATAATTCGTGTTTGCTTAATTCACGAAAACTTAATTCGTTTGCTTAATTTGGAATATAAGATTGTTAATCTAGTTTATGTCTTTTGCGCTTGTTAATTGACATAGGAATCGAATAGAGATCGAAATCGCTTAGGAAATTGGTAAGGTAGAAACCCGTGATAAGCCGAACCGAAAACAGTAGATTGACTTATTTTGATAATAACTTATTTTAACCGCTTAATTGCATTTTCTTTATTTATCCGATCAGAAACCAAACCAACTCCCCTCCATTTAGAATTTGGTAGATTAATCACATAAAAGAATCCTTGAGACGATATCCGAGTTGAATTGTCGCTGTATTACGTTTTCATCAAAAACACTCGTTTTGATCCGCGCGCGACAACTGATCAATGAGCTAGGCCCTCCACGACGGAAAGATGGATTGGGCCGACCCCGTGTGATGAGCGGGACAGAGCAATATATATATATATATATATATATATATATATATATATATATATATATATATATATATATATATATATATATATATATATATATATATATATATATATATATATATATATATATATATATATATATATATATATATATATATATATATATATATATATATATATATATATATATATATATATATATATATATATATATATATATATATATATATATATATATATATATATATACATATATATATATATATATATATACACATATATATATATATATATATATATATATATATATATATATATATATATATATATACATATATATATATATATATATATATATATATATATATATATATATATATATATATATATATATATATATATATATATATATACATATATATATATATATATACATATATATATATATATATACATATATATATATATATATATATATATATATATATATATATATACATATATATATATATATATACATATATATATATATATATATATATATATATATATATATATATATATATATATATATATATATATACATACATATATATATATATATATATATATATATATATATATATATATATATATATATATATATATATATATATATATATATATATATATATATATATATATATATATATATATATATATATATATATATATATATATATATATATATATATATATATATATATATATATATATATATATATATATATATATATAGGAATCTTAATCGGTTGAGTAAGTAAATAAAATAATTAATTATATTTAATAATTAAATAGATGTCAAGATAATCCATTTTGAAATAATGAGAATTCTTAATGATCATCATTCTATATATAGACTATGATCTCAAATATATTATCCTATAAGAAGATTATTTCTTTTTATCCCCATTCGAAGATTTTCAAGACATTACGAGTACCGGTTGAGAAAAATCCACAAGGCAACCGGTGTCAAACACTTGTCTGTACACTTTTGTATTTTAGAATTATCGTTGTCATTGTCTAAAAATTTTTCTCATTATATTCATTAAGGTATTCCTATAATCATTAATATCAAAATGTCATAGATCCTAAGGTTTGTGTCCATGGGGAGACGCTTAAGCGCTCCCAGCGTGATGAGTGATCAGTGCATATTTATGCACTTTCTCCTATATTTTTACTTAGGCATTTCTTTACTTTATCTTGATTATTTTTATGTCTTATTTTGTTTTTATATTTTATTTTATTTTTGGCTTAATTTGATTTCCGCATTTATTTTTCAGCTTTAGCAGTCTGCACGAAAATGATCATAACTGGAGTTCCGGAAATCCGTTTGAGGCGTTCTAAAAATCGCCGAAAGCTAAGAGAGAGAGAGCTACGACTTTCGTGTTGGAGTCGAAGTCAGATTCGGAGCACAAAATTCCAGAATTCCGTTTGAAGTTACTGCATTAGAATTTTATTTTAGTGTTGAGTAATGTATTGGGCCTGGGTTATGTTTTCGACCCAGTTGGTTATGACCCGAATTTGCTTTCTTTTTTAAAGGAAGAATACTCGTGTTACTGTTCACCTAGTTACATTTCATGAAAAATACATTCGGAGCTTTGAGAGAACCATGGAGAGCTATTTCCTTAGAGTCATTATGTTGTAATCGCGTTCCAACGCTTTGAGGTTTTTACTTTAACAATCTAATTCGTTTCTCTTTAAACACTATTCTATGAATTGCTTTTGCTTAATCTGTTAGTTTATAGAATTGTTTTGATTAAATTCGTATGATTGCATCCTTAGCTTTTATTCGTCATTACGTCGCTTTGTCGTTAATTCGCGTTTATAATTCGTGTTTGCTTAAATTCACGAAAACTTAATCCGTTTGCTAATTTGGAATATAGGATTGTTAATCTAGTTATGTCTTTTGCGCTTGTTAATTGACATAGGAATCGAATAGAGATCGAAATCGCTTAGGAAATTGGTAAGGTAGAAACCCGTGATAAGCCGGAACCGAAAACAGTAGATTGACTTATTTTGATAATAACTTATTTTAACCGCTTAATTGCATTTTCTTTATTTATCCAATCAGAAACCAAACCAACTCCCTCTCCATTTCGAAGTTGGTAGATTAATCACATAAAAGAATCCTTGAGACGATATCCGAGTTGAATTGTCGCTGTATTACGTTTTCATCAAAACACTCGTTTTGATCCGCGCGCGACAACTGATCAATGAGCTAGGCCCTCCACGACGGAAAGATGGATTAGGCCGACCCCGTGTGATGAGCGGGACAGAGCAATATATATATATATATATATATATATATATATATATATATATATATATATATATATATATATATATATATATATATATATATATATATATATATATATATATATATATATATATATATATATATATATATATATATATATATATATATATATATATATATATATATATATATATATATATATATATATATATATATATATATATATATATATATATATATATATATATATATATATATATATATATATATATATATATATATATATATATATATATATATATATATATATATATATATATATATATATATATATATATATATATATATATATATATATAGGAATCTTAATCGGTTGAGTAAGTAAATAAAATAATTAATTATTTAATTGAATATGTAGGCTATGATCTCAAATATATCCTCCTATAAGAAGATTATCTCTTTTTATCCCCATTCGAAGAGTTTTCAAGACATTACGAGTACCGGTTGAGAAAAATCCACAAGCCAACCAGTGTCAAACACTTGTCTGTATACTTTTGTATTTTAGAATTATCGTTGTTATTGTCTAAAAATCTTTCTCATTATATTCGTTAAGGTATTCCTATAATCATTAATATCAAAATGTCATAGATCCTAAAGTTTGTGTCAATGGGGAGACGCTTAAGCGCTCCCAGCGTGATGAGTGATTCAGTGCATATTTATGCACTTGCTCCTATATTTTTACTTAGCATTTCTTTACTTTATCTTGATTATTTTAATGTTTTATTTTGTTTTTATATTTTATTTTATTTATGGCTTAATTTGATTT